AATTGATGGACACTCAGAGAGGGGGAAGTGGAAAAACGTTGACTGCCATTGATGGCGCACATGAGAAACCTGAAATTAAAAACTCATAAGATATCGACTGATATATTGAGCTGCACAAATTACTGACAACTGAAAGATGAAAGAGGTACCAGCGCGTTCACAAAGAGAGATTTTCAAGACAGGTTTCCTGTACCCCTTTTTTTTCATCTTACTTTACTTTACTTTTCCTATATCCCTCCCGTGTACTCAAATATATATATGTATGTATATATATGCATATAAAAAGACAATTAGTTGTTATTAAGTTGTACACAAAAGCCGTCGAATCTTTTCTTTTGCCGCTTCTTCAATTTTTTGGCATCGCCAGGCTGGCTTTTGTGAGACAGATGAAGACGAAGACGAAGACGAAGGAAGGCTGATGTCTAGATGCGGAATTAATGATGCAATGACAATTGATGCACACCACGCAAAGCGCATTTAGCATTTATGATATTTATGCTCAATTAGTGTTAGACTCTCGTCGTTCCCCCGGTCTACGAAAGTGTGAAGTTTCAGCTGGATTTGATGGCTCCAGGCTGAGTTACATGAGGTTGCTCAGGAGATTTTCCCCCCAAATACTCATATATATTCATAGATTAGGGTATTTACTAAAAGTATGCAAAGTTTCAGCTCGATTTGATGTCTAAAAGCTGAGTTACTTGAGGTTTCTGCGGAATACTAGAATATAATAGCAGATATGAAAACTTTAGGATGAGTTTCTTTTACAAATACTCTAGTATATTTACATTTTATATTATTTATAATAAGTATGCAAAGTTTCAGCTCGATTTGATAACTACAAGCTGAGTTACTTGAGGTTTCTGTGGAATACTTTTATATAATTCAAGATTTAAAGACTTTAGCATGAGTTACTTTTCCACAAACTCTTATTTATTCACATTTTGTCATTTACTAAAACTATACAAAGTTTCAGCTCGATTTGACAGCTACAAGCTGAGTTACTTGAGGTTATTCTTTGGTAACTATAGTTAAAAACAGCTTAAACTTAACCATATTTGGTATACATATATTTTCCCATGATTTTCTGAACAAAATTATTGAAAAACTAATGAAAATTTGAAGTTGTATAAAAATTATAATCAATTGATTTCAAGTTCTTTGAGGTCACTCTCCCGGTTATTGGAAAAAAATCACCTAATTACAGTTTTGAATTGCGTTTCGATGATTAGTTAACCCAAGTTAGCTGGAGGACTTCAATTAGCTTCAATGGCTATTCATAATTAATGCCATATAAAAACCGGAAAAAGAGTGGAGGGGAAACGACCAATGATCATAATAAAAATTGATCAACAGACACACACACACACTCGGACTCTCACACAGTTCATGAACTCAATTTTTAATAATAATTTCCAAATGATTTTTTATTTCACATTATATTAGTTGTGTGTTGCGTGGCTCCGGATCGAGTTCGAGTTCAGCGATAGATCGGGCATCTCATTCCACCCCCACAAGCTTTTAATTGTTCGATTTTCATTTCGAATTCGTCTCGTTTCGTCGCGTTGTTATAGATACTTTTGCCAGAGATACAAAGATACAGCGCAGCTATGACTACTAGGCGCTGCGGATATTTCGGTCTGCTGCTGCTGCTGCTGCTGCTGCTTCTGTTGTGTTTTAATTTCCGTGCTGACAAATTAATTTAATTATATTAACATATCTTTCCAGCGATCGAACGATTGAACTGACTGAAATATGTGTATTTGTATCTCTGTATCTGAGTGTGTGGGTGGTTGGTTGAATTCAGTTCGAGTTGGCTCTGGGTCTTTGGTCTGTGATTCTTAATATTTAACCCCTTTATATGATATATTTTTCGATTTATATATATATAATATTATTATTGTGTGTGTGACTCATTAGCTTGGGGGGTGCTCTGTGCACTTAAAACGCTCAAAAATTATACGACACACGCCGATCCGTATCTATGTATCTCAGTACATTTGTATCTTTGTATCTATGCTCTATGTATTTAAGGGCTTAGAGCGAGAGACACACAACCCTTTTTTTTTGTGTCCACAGGCTGCTCATTTTCGGCGACGCCATCTTTGAAATTACAACAACAAAAAAATTATAAACTTTATACCCTATAAACTATCAATGCTCCGTATCCGTATCTATGTATCTTTGTATCTGTGCATCTGCATCTGGTGGTGGCCTACCCTATATAACCGGTTTCAATTCGATTAAAACGGAACCCAAAGCGTCAAAAAATAAAACCCAAAACTCGAATTTCTATCATCATTTTTTTTTTTGTTTTTTGTTTTTGTCAGCAAATGCATTTGGCAATTAGCTTTGTTTTGTCTTCTTTCCATTTCCAGTTTTCCCCATCCCTGAGATCAGCAAAATCATACTTCTAGTAATTATAGAAGCCAAAAAAAAAATATAAGAAACAAAAAACTTGGTTCGATGTTAATGGGTCAAGTTTATAGATTGCATTACCTGATGGTCTATACGGAAATTCAGTTTTTTTTTTCTTACTTCGTTCTATATTTAATGGTTAAAAAACAAGGGAAAAGAAAACTTTATGTTAATCAAGCACATTTCGATTTCGATTTGTGTCAATTTTTTTTGTGTATTGTTGTTCTTTTTCACGTTCCAAGTAAATAAATAAATAAGCCAAGAAAGTATTTCATTTCATCGACACTCATTTGGACAGCTGTAGACGGCGTCTGCGGCTTTGTATTTCTTTAGTTTACTTAATAAACTTCTATTTTTGGTTTGGCAAATCCATAAAAATATATGCTACAAGAAAGTATTTATGGAACAAGGAGAGTCAAAAGCTCAAATATTGATTCATTGATTGCAATCGATCAAAGTCGAAAGGGGTCTCTTCAAACGATCGTTAGCGAGTATTTATTATAAATCTAAAAAAATATAAAAGGAGGAGAAGAACCTCATATATCTTTAACCATCCTAACGAGTTCTGCGGCTTTTTGCTTTTTGACTTTTGTTGGGAATAACAAGAGAGATATATATATATATCTTTATACCAGTTCTTGCTTAGTTGTATTAATTTTATAGGTGCATCAAAAATGGCTTGCATTTTACCGACGGCAAAAAAAACTAATGCATTTTTCCACCTTGATTTTCCACCCTTCTCTGTGTGTCTTTTCAGGATCAATCGAAGAAGAAAAACTCCAATTAAAAATGCTTAGGCAATGCAACCTAATTAACTTGCTATATATATATATATAGATATGAGTTGATATTTCCATGTCTGGTCTGGCTTTCTATATATATATATTTTTGTTTGGTTTTTTTAATGTTATTTTGCCGCCTTATTTGTTGAGAGCCTGGCATTTGGCCAAAGAAATTTTTGCAGCGTCGTCTGGAGGGGAAAAACCCCCTGCCGCCTACCGCCTGATTTTTCCAGCACCTCCACCTCCTCCTCTCCCACACCACCTACTCCTCCTCCTCCTCCACCCACTCCTCTGTCTGACTCAGATCTTGTCTATAGCTTTTCCTATCTCAGTTAGTCAAGCAATAAATTGTTCATTTACTAATTTGCTTGTTGCACTTTGCATTTTTTATTTCTCCTTTTGTTTTGTAAACAAATTTTGTGCAAAAATCAATAATAAATAAATTAACAACAAGAATTAGACAACAATAATGGGAGAAAGAGGGAGAGGGAGGTGCTCCTCCAGCAGCAACAATAAAAACACATTTGCCGTAGACACGCAAACTCAATTAGTTAACTTAACTAAAGTTAAGTTAAGCAGTTACCGTGGGGCGGGTCGAAAGGGGGGTAAGGGGGTGGTGGTGTTATTGTTTTTGTCAGTTGTGGGAGTTGGATATAAGATCGCAATGAATATATAAATATATATATATCTATTTTTTAGGGAAATAACATTAGAGTAGCTCTAGTTTTGAACAGATTTCAAGCATTTTCAAGGCTTGATTTCAGGTTGGGAATTAATGTTTAATTAATAAACATTAGGATTTGGGAATATGTATTTATTTTTAATACAAATTCAAGTTATGTATCAATTAACAATTTATTTATTTTGTCAATAAATAACAAGTTCTTGCAAAGAATTGTAAATAGTTTAAGAAACTATTACTTAAAGGTGTAAGTTTATATTTAATTTATAACAAAACACCAGCAGGATTTCGTTGTAACATTTGTATAATTTATAAAACCTCTTATATAAATCTATAAAATAGAGAAACTAATATTTAATTTCATATTTATTTCTTTAATTATTTTTGTTATAATTTATTAAAGGTTCTTAATTTATTAAGGTTTTTTATGTTGCATAAAAATCTACTATTTCATTCTTTCCTAAACAATTTATATTTATTTCTTTATAAAATAAATACACATTTAGACATTTGTTTTAAAATGCTTCCAGATATAAATAAGAATCACTTGATTTAATTTTCAAATATTTTCACTTGTAAATAAAATACAAAATCACTTGAAAATTAGTTTAACAAACTTTCTGTCCAAGAAAAACCTTCTTAAGTTCCCTAAATTAGTTTTACCTTTTCCATAACAAAAGCACATTTATTTCTTTTACAAAATAAATATACATTTGAAAATTGATTTATAATTTATATTCTTTGCACTTGTTAATAAATTCATAAATCACTTTATTTAAATTTCTTTCCTTCCATAAACTAACATGTCACATTTCTAATTAAGTTCACTTTAACTTTTGCCACACAACTTCTTATAAGCACTTTATGGGTTTCCCTTACAATCAGATCATATATATATATAGATATATTTCTCTGTTGTTTTGTTTATAAACACTGAGCATTTCATTCATTTAAAATTCACCAAGAGACGAAAACCCCGCCCTGTTAAATGCCAAAGAAGACATCGGGGGAAAAATTCCAAGATTTTCTGGCATGCGGAGTGCCACAAAAATATTGTGTAGTTTTGCTTTCTTTCCATTGGAGAACACATTTTGGGTGTTTTTGTTGGATGCTTTGCTTACCTGTTGCCAAAATTGTGCCAATAAATAAATTTGCTCCTTTTTGAAAAACCAATCGTTGATTGATTGAACAGCCGTCAGATCCATATCGGCTGTCCCAGCGGCTTGTGGCAATGTTGGCTGCATTCGTGGGCTTTGCTTTCTTCAGTTTTCTTCTCAGTCAGTTTGTTGTTGTTGATTGTTGTTGTTTGTTGTTGTATCTTGTTGTTGTTGTTTTGTTTTTTAGCCAATAATATTATTGCCAATATTCGATTGGCTAAGGCCTGGCATTTGGTTAAAACACACACTCCTTCCTGCTTTTGCTTGTTAGTTTTCGATTTTAGTTTTAGTTTTGATCTCTGTACTTTGTTCTTTTCTTTTTTTTTGGAAGTTAGTTTCGTTTTAGTTTTGGTTTTAGTTATAGTTTTAGCTTTTTGTTTGTTAGTGGTTTCTTTGTCACTGTTTTGTCATCACATTTACACCTTAAGTATTCTATTTGTTACTGTTGCTTTTACGTGCCCAAAAAAATTCATAAAATACATAAATAAGCCAATTTCCTTTTTCCTTTTTTTTTAAACTTGTATTAATTCTTTTTTATAGAATTCTTCTGCCTTTGTTGCTGTTGTTGCTGTTGTTGTTGTTGTTGTTGAATTAAAGGTGTGGTTTTTGATTTGTTGTTGGAGTTTGATTTGGTTTTGGAGTTATCGTTGTTGTTGAATGTGTTGTTGGATTGGGATTTGTTGTTGTTGTTGAATGGTGATGGGTGTTGTTGTTGTTGATGATGTGGTTGTAGTTGTGTGTGAATTTCAAGCCATCGATGTTGTTGTTGTTGTTGATGATGTTTATGTTGTAGTTGTTGCTTATTTTGCACATGTTTCAGCTGGTCGCATTTGTTGTTGCTGTTGCTGAGGTTGTTGTTGTTGTTGTTGTTGTTTACACTTGTCACCAATACACGCGCACATTTTTCGGTTTTAACAACAAAAAATCACTTAAAAAAAATGCAGCGAAAAGCGTTCATTCCTTGTGTCCTTTTCTTTCTTTGTTTCTTTTATTTATTTATTTATTATAATTTTTCGTGATTTCTGTGTTTCGGAGGAATTTCTTGGATTTAATTAATTATAATTAACGATTATAATTGATTATTGATTATATTTATGATTTTTGTTTTATTGGTGATCACACCGCGAAGAAACTAACACACAATTCGCGTCGCACACACATCGCACACACTCAGCCGCGCCAAGAACACACACCATACGCAGCGCACACCACACACAATACTACCGGGAAAATAACGGGCAGGTTATAGGAAGTAAGTAAGGAAGGAGAGCGCGAAGAAGTAGGCGGCTAAGCGGCGTGTGCGATATTATTATTTCTCAAATCTCTGGGCCTTCTTTTTCTTTCTTTTTTGGGGGGCTCTAGCTCTGGCTCTGGCTCTGGCTCTGGGGCTCGAACTCTCGGACGTCTCGTCTCGTCTCGTCTCGTGTCTCGTCTCGTCTCTCACACGGGGCGACGTGTTCAGTCACGAATGCTGTTGATGACTGAACAAATCGAACCCTAACGAAGCGCCGACAACCCTGCACAACGGCGTTTGCTGCTGCTGCCTCACACACACACACACACACACACACACGCACTCATACACTGGCTCCCTCGCTCGCTCGCTCACTCGCTTGCTGCGCTGCTGCTGCTGCTGTTGCTGCTGCTCGATGGTTCTGCTGCCGACAAGCCGAGCCGAAGCCAACACGAGCGCCCAGAGTCAGAGCAGGAGCGAGTGAGAGAGAGGCAGAGTGAGAGAGCGAGCGAATGAGTGAGTGTGCGAGAGAGTAAGGAGGGGGGCGCCATCAGGGGAAAAAAGACTCACTCAATTTCTCAGCGGCGCTGCCACTGCTTTAGATTTCTTCAATAGATTTTGATTTTTCCCAGCTCGTTTCTTATTTTTCCCCATTTGTTTGTATTTTTTTTATATATATTCTGCTTCTTTTTTTCGGTTTTTTTTTTTGAGTATTTTTCTGCGCCGCCGCTGTCAGAGTTGCATGTATTGAAATTCATTCATTCAAGGTACTCGCATTCGCACTCGCTCGCACGCTCGCCTTTTTTCTTATTGGGAACAACTTATGAGAGGGGGGGGGTCTAAAAATTGAGCCGCAAATTGAGCGGTTTTTTTTCCTGTGTGCTGCGGCTTTTCGAAGGGGAGTGCTTGGGGGATTTCGGTGATTCGGGAATTATATCTCTTGTTTGGAATTGCAAATTTTGAAAGTTTTATAAAGTTTGGATTTGGTTTTTATTTTCTGTCCTTAATTTAATTTAATTTATTTTGTATTATGTTATTTTTTAATATTTATTTTAAGGGGTTTTCGTTTCTTGAGAGGTTAAAGCCAGCCTTATGAACTCTTTAATTTTTTTCTTTCTAATCTTTACTTATAATTATATTTTTATTTATTTGTTGTATTTTTTAAAGTGTTTGATCCACTAAAGGGTTAAACCAGGACGCGTTTAAATTTATTAATATGTCTAGGAACTTGATTAGTTATTTTTCCCCATTTTTATTGAAAGCAAGGATTAAAAGTAAAGTGTGTTTTTATGTGTTAATTTCTTTTAGTAATGGTAATAGTTTATTGACGAAAATACCTTCGAGGAAAGCCCTATGCAGGGTTATTTATAAATTCATTTATTATTATTATTTAAACGAGTAATACAAAAACTTTAACAATATTAACTTCTACATTAGTAACTTTAGCTCTTAAAGTCTCTGAGATATAGGAATTAGTATAGACCAACGGACAAACAGAATGACGGACAAGCGGACAAACAGACAGACGGACAGACGGACAAAGGTAAATCTGTTTACCTTGATACAATTATATTTTCCCCTCCTCATGGCAATATTTCTTTATATATATTTTATGATCTTTTGTTTGAAAATTCCCATCCATTTTTCTTCCTCAAAAAATCAATTTCCCACACTCTTAATCTCTTACCTCCTTTGGCTGCACCTTAAATTTTGAAATTTGTAAACTTTTTTTTTGCTGCGCTTATTATCCTTTGTAAATATCCTTTGGAATATTAAATAGTCCCGTTGCCGTTGCGGGATTTTCGCATAAAGAAAAGTTCAAATTGTATCGAAGCGCCGCCAAAGTGCAAGGCAGACGCAGTCTTAACCCCCTACAGCCAACCTTAACCCATTGGGGGTGAGGGAATAGGGTAAAGTAAAGGAGGCTATGGTTATGGCTTAAACTAAAGTCGGAGATGGAGACTGGAGAACTGGAGAACTGGAGAACCAAAGTCGCAGTCGCAGAATGCGTTGCTGCAGTCTGAGAGAAAATCTGAGAAATTGTTGGGGGGGGGGAGAAGGAGGAGGAAATGTATGGGTCTAGGGGGAGGTCGGGGACCGGTTGGGGGTTAAATCTGCTCGGGGACTTTGTCGTCGTCGGCAGTGTGAAAAATAACGAAAATAACGGGAGAGCCGAGGGCCGAGGGCCGAAAAACCGAGGGCCGAGAGAAAGGGCAGCAGTCACCTACACGAAGACAAAAAATATATATGTAAAAAAAAAAAATAAAACGATGCTCGCTGTCGACGTCGCTGGAAAAATCCCCTTAACCCTTAAGCCCCACTACCCCTTAACCCTCTAAAAGTAATACTATAAAATAAATTAATATTTTGGATATATTTTAAAAGTCAAAAAAATGAATCATTAAAAATAAAAACACTTATTTTAGGCAACTTTTTAGTCAACAACAAAATTAAATTAAATAAAATGCATATAAGAATCTTTAAATATTTACACCATTAATTAAAAACAACTAATTTTTGAGAAACTAAAATTTTAAAAATAAAAAAATCTATGCAATTCCCTCTCGCTCGCACCGATTGACAATCAATGGACTGCAATTGGAATGCCTTGAAATGCCAGGACAAGTGTCGGCCAACCAGCAAAATTCCAACTGGATAAAAATGCAGGCGCAAAAACCGAGAACCGAAGCAACAAAAAAAAACATAATAAAGAAAACCACTCAATGCTTAGGCACTCCACTCACTCTCTCACGCAACTCACACTGGCGCTCTCTCTCTCGCTCTCTATGTGCCTCACACTGTGTCTCTCCCCCGTTTGAGTTGCAGTTGCAAGCGTGAGCAGGGGCGCGCAGCAAGTTCGAAACGTTTTTCGAAACGTTTTCGAACTTGTTGAGTTGCAAAGCGGGAAAATTGGAAATTTATATCAACTGTTTATTGAAATATTCAAATATTTAGAAGAAATTAAATTAATAAATGAGAAATATACCAAAAACCCTTAATAATTAAAGAAAATAACTGTTAAATTTACGAGAAAAATATGTTTTAATACAATTAACTAAATTCTATAAAATATGGCAGATGCCAAAATTGATCAATTTATTTATTTAGTTTCATTAAACTCTTTTAATTTTGTTTATAATTCATATAAAATATTTATTTAATCCAAAAAATCTTCATAAACTTGCACTAAATATTCGAATTTCTTCCCATACTCATTTTCCTTAACACTCGATTCCCCTTCGCTACCCACTCCACCCTCTCTCAACAAGACCACAAAAAAAAATAAAGCTCTCACTTCACTCAACCAAGAAAATCACTCACAAATGACACAAGTCGCTCTCAATTTTCGATAATTCCCGTAATAAAAACCAAATCCAAAGCACACACACACACACACACGCACATGTACGAGCGCGCTCACAAGTGTCACAAAAAAAGTCAAAGAAGAAACCAGGCGACGGCGACGCCAGCCGAAGCAGCGGCAGAGCAAGACAGACACAGGCGAGGGAAATAAAAAAAAAAAACCCACACACACACACAAAAAAAAAGCGAAGCAAACGATTTAAGCCCCGCCCCATTTGATTGGCGAGCAAAAAGCAAAGCAAGGAAGAAGGCAAGGCAGAAAAACAGACGACGACGACGACAACGTCAATGGACAGCAACAGCAATAACAACAACGACAACAACGACAAACACACACGCGCTGGCCCCCACACACATGAGTATATGTGTGTGTGTGTTTGGCGCTCTGCCTCGGCCGCTGCCCGCAGCTACCTGCGCTGCGACAGAGGAGGGTCGTCGCAACATCATTCATCGGAAAAAGAGACGCAGCATCTGTTGTTGTTGTTGTAGTTTGTTGTTGTAATTGTAGTTGTTGGAGTTGTTGTAGTAGTTGTAAGGATGTTTGGTTTTTTTTTTTTTTTTCGTTAGTTATGTATTAGTTACAAATATATCAATAATTAAAGGAAAATAAGTGAAGTTTTAAGAAAACTATGGCAAATGTTTTTATCAATGAAAATGAATTAAATATTATTTAATTGGAGCAAATTTGTCCAGTAATTT